CCACATGCTCCCCCAGCGCCTGCCCACATGGTCACTCCACTGCAGCCCGCACCACCCTCACCACCCGGAAGGCCACGCCCTCCCCTCACACACCTGCCTCCACTGTGTTCATGATGTCACCTCTGCCTGATGTGGGGTGAGGGCTCCAGCCCGTCCCCCCCGGCCAGTGTGGCCTGTCCTCACAGCGGGCAGAGAGCCCAGGGCCCCGGGGGAGCCAGGAAGGAGGCTGGAGGGACTAGGCTCTGGGGGGGCCTGCACCCCAACCCCCTGGACCCCAGCCCTGGTCCCGGCTGACCTCCCAGGTGCCTGTGGACGTACGAGGTCCAGTTCTCCCCGGATGGCCAGGTGTTTGCGCCCATCAGCCGGAAGCCGTCCACCTTTAACCTCTTCGTGTTCAGCCCAGGTGCGTCCGCCACAGCTCCTGGGGCTCCGCACGGCGCCCGTGGGGTGGGGCCTCGCGAAGCCTGCGGTCGGGGGGCGCCTGGAATTTGGTGTGGGTTCAGGGGGTCATGTGCTCCAGAACACGCATGTACCTTTGTGTCCCCAGACACGGCGGTCGTCTCTGGCTCCTACCGGGTTCGAGCGGTGGACTACTGGGCCCGGCCAGGCCCCTTCTCGAACCCAGTGCAGTACCTGGAGGCCTCTGCCCGGTGAGGGCCCTGCTGTCCAGTGCCTTTGCGCCTGTGCTGACCGGTGGGCTGGACCGGCACCAGCTGTCCGCCGGTTGTCAGATCTGCTCTCCCCTCCCGCCTGGTCACTCACCCCCTTAAAGTGCCTTTCCACACCTGGGCCTTGGAGTTGACCTTTGTGGACAGACACTGGCTGGAGCAAGTCTCCCTTGCTCTCCTCCCACTCAGACCATCCCCCTCCCCCTCGCCTCCCCGCTCCCCGCGGGTGCCAGGGCGGGAAGCAGGCGGAGGGGCCGAGGCACAGCTGCCATTAGGTGGTCCCCTGCCCAGCTGGGGCCTCCGGGGGGCGCCTGGAATTTGGTGTGGGTTCAGGGGGTCATGTGCTCCAGAACACGCATGTACCTTTGTGTCCCCAGACACGGCCGTCGTCTCTGGCTCCTACCGGGTTCGAGCGGTGGACTACTGGGCCCGGCCAGGCCCCTTCTCGAACCCAGTGCAGTACCTGGAGGCCTCTGCCCGGTGAGGGCCCTGCTGTCCAGTGCCTTTGCGCCTGTGCTGACCGGTGGGCTGGACCGGCACCAGCTGTCCGCCGGTTGTCAGATCTGCTCTCCCCTCCCGCCTGGTCACTCACCCCCTTAAAGTGCCTTTCCACACCTGGGCCTTGGAGTTGACCTTTGTGGACAGACACTGGCTGGAGCAAGTCTCCCTTGCTCTCCTCCCACTCAGACCATCCCCCTCCCCCTCGCCTCCCCGCTCCCCGCGGGTGCCAGGGCGGGAAGCAGGCGGAGGGGCCGAGGCACAGCTGCCATTAGGCGGTCCCCTGCCCAGCTGCGGTCTCTGGTGGCACCCCATCCCACCTTCTGCCCAAAGGGGGGACCCACTTCCTGAGGCCCAGCTGGGTTCTCCCTGCCCTGGTGGCACCCCATCCCACCTTCTGCCCAAAGGGGGGGGCCCAGCTGGGTTCTCCCTGCACCTGCCAGGTGGGGGCAGGCTGGGCTCCGGGCTGCCTGGCACAGGCTGTGGCCAGCAGCAGAAAAGGCTTCCAGTGGGCTGTGCCCGCTCCCACGGACATCCTGGCTCCCTGTTGGGCCCAGAGGGAGACTGATGGGAGCTCAGTTGAAGGCAGTTTGGGGACATCTATAGAGCTGTGGGCAGGGGCAGGGCTGCCACAGGGGCCGTACAGAACCCAGCCCCCAGCCCACCGCTCCCGGCAGACAGCAGGTGAGGGACCGCTGACTGCAGACCAGAGAGGTGTGGAGAGCTCACCCAGGCAGGAGCAGAGACCTTAGGCCTGGGGTCCCTGTGGGTGGAGTGGGGGGTGTGGAGGCCCGATCCCACTCCTACCCACCGCCCTCTGGGCTGCCCTGCGCTCAGATTGGGAGGGGATGGGCCTGGAAGGGCAGACGGAGGACAAGGCCCCGTCCACCCCCAGGCTGCCCATCCAGTGTCTATGTGAAAAGTTCAGCAGGGCCTGCGTGGCTCGGTGGTTGAGCATCGACCTATGGACCAGGAGATCGCAGTTCGATTCCCGGTCAGGGCACGTGCCTGGGTTGCAGGCTCCATCCCCAGTGTGGGACGTGCAGGAGGCAGCCAATCAATGATTCTCTCTCATTGATGTTTCTCTCCCTCTCCCATCCTCTCTGATAGCAATAAAAATATATTTTAAAAAGGAAACGTTCATGGGCCACCAACTCCTTGTCATGGGGGGGAGATACCAGTTTGGTCGTATGTCCATCTGAACCCCAAAGCCAGCACCTGTCCCCATGCCCCTTTCCCCAAGTGGATGCCTGAGGGCTCGGGGCCTGGGGGCCTGTGTCTTTGTGGGACACCATGGCCCACTGACCACTGTGACCGCACAAGGGTTCCTACCCCATAACAAAGCCCTGTCTGAGTCAGCTCGGGCGGCCATAACAAAACACTACCGTCCGGGCGGCTCAGACAGCAGAAATGGATCTCACAGTCACGGAGGCAGAAAGCCCGAGCCCCCGGGTGGGCAGACAGGCGCCTCCTCCGCTCGCAGACGGTGCCATCTCCGTGGCTGTCTGTGTGCGGCTGATCTCCACGTATAGGACACGTCGCCTGGAGTAGGGCCTACTCATGATACTATCGTCACCTCTTCCGAGGCCCCATCTCTGAATAGGACCACTTCTGGGTGCTGGGGGCTAGGCCTTCAACATATGAACTTTGGGGGACACGATGCAGCTCACTGGCCCTGACCTGTGTCCCCTGGTGTCCGGACCCATCACCCCAACGGCAGAGCTGAGCCTCTCCGCCTGCTGGGTTAGCGGCCTGAGGACCCCGCGGTCAGGGACCACCTCAGCTTCCTGCTCACAGAGGGGACTGGGTTCCCTGGTGACCACGTCCTTCCTTGGACAGCAGGGTCTGCAAACGCCGAGCGGAGATCCCGCGGGGCAGTGAGGGGTGGTGGGTGGCCCTCCCCCTTCCCTCCTCCCCAGCCCTGAGCGCTCTGGCTCCCAGCAAAACAGCAGCACACGTTCAAGGCTGCACCTCAGCTGTGGGTTCCGGGCCCAGCAGCTGCCACCTGTCCTGGTCCGATGGCCCCTCCTTGGGAGGTGGCCATGGCCTGAGGGCAGTCATCTGCTCCGTCCCTCTGTCCCCTGGGGGAAAGCCACCGTTTCTGCTGGGACTGGCTTCCGTGTAGCCAGGTGGCCATCAGGTTGCTGTGTTCCCTTTGGTCTTTGCTGGTTGGGGCTGGGTGTGGTGCTGTGCTGAGGTGGGGAAGGCCACATGAATGGCTCACAGCCTCTGCCCTGCTGCCATGGCCACTGGCACCTGGGCCCCGTTTATGAGAGTCCCAGAGGGGAGGCTCCCGGGACCAACGAGGCATTTCTATGGGGCACGGTGCCCTCATCCCAGACCCCCTCGCCCCCCATCTCATCTTGGGCTTTGAGTCTGGTCAACTGGTCGACCTCCTGGCTGCTGCCCCTGGGAGAGCCACACGGGCCGCTGTGCCACCGTGGTCCCACCCTCTGAGATGCGGGTGTGTGTACCCGCTGCCATAGCCCCGTCTGTGCCATTCCCTTCTCTCCGTGCAGCCGACAGGGAGCTCCTCGGGCAGCCCAGCGCGGGCGAGGAGGGCGGCACGTCAGCGGAGCCGGAGCCTCCGGTCCAACATGTGACTCATTTCTGGACAGAATGCTGCCTGCACTTGGCGCTCTCTGGGTGCTGGGGTCACAGCCCGGGTCAGGCAGTTCCCAGAGCTCAGCTGCAGGCCGGAGACTTTTTTGGTTGGAGGAGGGTTGACGGAGAGGACCGAGCAGGCCTGCCTGGGGTGCCGGGGTCCGGGCAGGGGCCCTGCTCTTGGTGCTGCTGAGGCGTCTCTGCCTCAGCTGCTGCAGGTCACCTGAGCCCCCAGAGCCGTCTGCCCACGCAGGGGGTGGGGGCCACGGCACACCTGCCCCTGCCGCAGAGGCTGTCTTGCCAACATGACCTGTTGCCCAGGAAACGGCCCCCCCAAATCCACAGTCCCACCAGGCACCGGGCCTCTTAGAAGTGGGCAGAGTAAGGTACAGCGACTTATTCCACTATTTTTTTTAATGGTTGTATTGATTATTTTAGAGAGAGAGGAAGGGAGAGGGAGAGAGAGAAACATCAATGAGAGAGGAACACCAATCCGCTGCCTCCTGCATGCCCCCTACTGGGGATCAAGTCTGCAACCCTGGCATGTACCCTGACCCCTGACCGAGAATTGAACCATGACCTCCTGGTTCATGGCGATGCTCCACCACTGAGCCACACTAGCTGGGCGCCTTAGCTCACATTAAATGGGATGTCCCCACACTTCCGACACCGCAGGATCCCTGACACCTCCCCGAGGCTCCTGACCGCAGGGTGCGTCCCCACCCCTGGCGAGCGAGCTCGTGCGTGACCTTCACCGCCCAGGCCAGTTAGCACGATGGCATTACGGAAACCAAGTTCTCTGCATCCTAGAGCGTATTAACACAGCGGGAGCCTGGGTTGAGCGTCGACCTATGAACCAGGAGGTCACGGTTGGATTCCCGGTCATGCCCAGGCTGCGGGCTCAATCCCCAGTGAGGAGCGTGCAGGAGGTGGCCGATCAAAGATTCTCTCTCATCATTGATGTTTCTCTCTCTCCCTCTCCCTTCCTCTCTGAAATCAATAAAAAAATATTTTTAAAAAGGTAACACCTTTATGGAGGCTTAACCCACACGACAAAGTGCACTATTTAATAAGGTTTTTATTATTATTTTTAATATGTTTTATTGTTGATGCTATTACAGGTATCTCCTATTTCCTCCCCGATTATAATTATTGATTTGAGAGAGAGGGGAGAATCATCAATCATCTGCATCCTGCATGCCCCCTACTGGGGATGGAGCCCACGACCCAGGCATGTGCCCTGACCAGGAATCGGACCCGCGACGTCTTGATTCATAGGACAACACTCAACCAACCGAGCACATGGGCCAGGGCGAGAACGGCACTGCGTCAATCAAGCATTACTATTGGATCAGTTTTGACGTGTGGGCGCCATGGAACCATGACCACTGTCTGTGTAGCGAATGTTTCTGTCCTCTCATGCCCCTCCCCCCACACACCTCCCACAGCCCCAGCTCTGCCACTGGACACGGCTTTTCCCGGAATGTCCCATCGCACGGGCTACGTTCTAACGGACTTTCCTCACTCAGCACAATTGTTTCGAGATTCATCTGTGCTGCTCTGTGGAGCACTCCCTCCTCTTTTTGTTTGTGAGATATATATATATAATATATATTTTATTTATTTATTTATTTATTTATTTTATTTTTTGTTTGTTTTTAATATATTTTGATTTCAGAGAGGAAGGGAGAGGGGGAGAGAGAGAAACAATGATGAGAGAGGATGATTGGTTGGCTGCCTCCTGCACTCTCCCTACTGGGGATCAAGCCTGCAACCCAGTCATGTGCCCTTGACAGGAATCGAACCCAGGACCCTTCAGTTCACAGGCTGACACTCTATCCACTGAGCGGCACCGGCCAGGCCGCTCCCTCCGGGAATCGAACCAGGACCTCCTGGCTCATAGGTTGACGCTCAACCACTGAGCCATGCCAGATGGGCCAGTACTTTTTTTTTGGTAGATTCTGTAGAATTTTCAACGTAGATGATCATGTCATTCCACGTATTTCTGTACAAT